ACATTTTTTGAGTCATCACAGTCAAGAAGTCATTGAAATTCATTTTTCCTGTACCTTCTGGATCAATTTCACTTATCATCTTCGTAATCTCTTCTTTCTTTGGTTCAAAGCCCATTGCTCTCATCACCACCTTGAGCTCTCTAACATCAATGGTCCCAGTTGCATCAGTATCGAAGAGATCAAAAGCTTGGCGTAGCTCCTGTATCTGCTGTGGACTAAGCTCCAGCTTAGGACTCACTCTTTTTGGCTGGGAAGATGATGCCACGTTTGTCGTCTTAAAGCTGGAAGAAGCCTTCGGAGGTTCCGAGTCTTCTTTGGCCTGGAACAGGTTTCCCAGAGGGCCACGCATGCCCGGGGGGCGGCTGCGGGCCGGCTGTGTGTTAAGAGGAGGCAGCGAAAAGGCACAGGCCCTGCGAGGAGGCTGGCGTTTCTTCAGATCCATCTCCGACCTTACTATTGGATTTAATACATTGGAACTGTTGACATAACATTCCCCTCACCCATCACCCCACATATAATGTCCATAAAATCATCTATCTCAGGCCTATCTCATAGTAGGTGCTCATATTATTGATTTATTTGCTGTGCACCTCTGGGAAAGTCTCAGTTTTTTACCATGGTGCCTATAGCAGATATGTGCAAGCATGATAAGGGCTCAATGAGTGTTTGTTGTCATTATTATTAGTACTACTACTATTACCCAGAGCTATGTAGTTAGGTAGACCATGGGTCCCTGATTAGTTTTGTGGCTTTGGATAAGTTACCGAACCTTTCTAAAGCCCAGTGTTCTCATCCGTAAAATGGGGATAATAATTATTATAGGTCCTTAGATTTGTAAGGATTTGATAAGATTATATAAGTAAAATGATCACCATAGTGCTGGCCCATAGTAAATGCTCCATAAATGTTGATATTAGTACAAAAATAACAATAATAGCAATAATTATAATAATACATATTACTACCTGGCCTGATCACCATTAAGCCGGGCGGCAAAGTCTGAGCACCATTTCTCCTTTGTCACTAATGCTGTTGGTGGTGTCATATTCAAATAAGGATAACTTGGACCACCTTCTTAGCAGTGACCTGTGGCTCATGATCTCTGATCCGCCTGACACTGAGAGCTTGCTGGCTACCAAGTTCCCAGTGTTGGGATTTCTGGCATTACTTGCTCTATGGATTACTCAGGGGATACACTGAAAGTCAGTCTTCACTTAGGTCCTTGTTAATTATTTTGACTTCTTGCTGCATCCTTTCTATTATGAGGGAAGTCAAAAGACATCTTCCCCACTCCTCAAAGAAAAAGGCCTTGCCTGACTGGCGTGGCTCAGTGGTTGAGCATTGACCTGTGAACCAAGAGGTCATGGTTTGATTCCTGGTCAGGGTACACGCCTGGGTTGCAGGTTTGCTCCCTAGTGTGGGGTGTGCTGCCAATCGATGATTCTCTCTCATCATTTATGTTTCTATCTCTCCTTCTGATCTGAAATAAAAATACATTTTTAAAAAAAGAAAGAAAAAGGCCTGATTTGATGCTTGAAAATCTGGGGCCTTTGTGCTCTACTTTGTGACACAATAGGCTATTCTTAACTTAATGTCCTGTTCTTACATCTTTCTTGCTTTCTCAAGTAAGAAAATCAAATAAGAGGTAATATTTCACCCTCGGCAATAAATATTATTATCGCCATTTTTTCTACATAACTTGGACCCTTTACCAAAATGCTCTTGCGAAAGGGGGCCTGGCTGGAGTTCTCACTGAAACTCTAAGTGTAAAGCTCTGGGTCCCTCATCCTCTGCCTGTGTGATCTGAAGGTGTGTTTCTGTCAGGAGGCTGGAGAGATTTTACAGACAACCTTCTATGATCCTTGGAATCCCAGAGGTCCCTGCAAGCCTAGGCCAACCTGGATTGCACAGGCATCAGGGGTGGACCCCCAGTTCTCCAACATCCTGTGTAACCAAATGACCTTTTAGTTGTGCAACCCCTGAAATTCATACTTGCCAGCCAGCACACCATGACAAGTGCAGAGAGCACTAAACGGCTTTTGACAGAAAGTAGCTATGTGAGCCTGAGCTGGTTGCATCCCCTCTCTGGGTCTCTAGGAGATCTATTGCATGGCCCCCATACTTGAATGTGCTGTGACTCAGTCATTGACCATGGTGGGAGAGAGGAGAGAAATTTGGGAGGGTGCATTTCTCTTTGTTTGGTTTATTTCCACTCATCCCATTTTAATTTTGTCAGGGTCAGATAAGTAATTTATATTTCCTAGGTCAAATAACAGCAGACCTGAAAAAAAGTTAAGTCTTTACAAGTTCAAAAAAAAAGTCAATAGGTAAACTCTTTCTAAGCTAATTATGGGAAAAAACAGTGAATTCATAAGCCAAAACCATCTAGAAAAAGAACCCTCAAATGTTTGACTTTCTTCCTATTTTGAACACATGCACTGTTGACGGAATGAGAAGTGATCAGGGGGACGGCTTCAAGGCACAACCAACTCCCTGGTGAGCTTCCAGAGGCTGGCAGGGAAGGGCAAAGTTATAAGCAACTCAGAGCAATCTTGCCCTGGACTGTCTGGCACAAGAGCAGTTCCTGTAATTGAAACTGAGGTCATCAAAGCCCTACTTGGTTGGTCCCCACTGCCATTTCACAACTTCCACAACCAGGGCCTGAGCATCCCAGGCCTGCGTGATCTGGCCCTCGGCAGCCAGCCCAGCCTCCTCTCCTGCCATCCCTGGAGCAACAGGAGCCATCCCTGTCTCTTTTGGTGCCTTGAACTCACTTAAGCAAAACAGCCTTTGTGTACACTGTTCTCTCTGCCTGGAGATTTGTTTCTGTCCCCTTTGCCTGGTGAAGACTTCATCATAGCAAGGAGAAGGGCCCAGTGATTCTGTCACCACTTGCTTCTACAAGTACTTTTCGTTTGACCAAACCCCACTTTTGTTTTAATTCTGTTTATTTTGGGATCCTGGCACAAGTATACTTCACATCTCAATCTTTATAATTACTTTGAAGGGAGATTTAATTCATTTGTATCTGATGCCCACAAAAGCTAAATGTCCATCATTTTCCATTTTTAAAAAGCAGTGGTGTTTTAAAGCATCTCTATTTGAGCCAAGAAACCAAGTAGGACCTCAGTTTTAAGACGTTCATCTTCTAAAGCTCTTGATTAATCACAGTTCTACTGATTTTTCAAATAAATATGAAGATTATATAAATACACAACAATAATAAATATCTCTAAATCTGAAGAACAGCAGTTTGGGGGCTTAACTTCAGTGTGGGGCAGGGCATGGCTCCCTACTCCTCAGACTTCCCCAGTGACTAGGGAAGGTCCTCCAATAGTCCAAAAATGGGGGAGAGTGAAGGGAAGACAAAAAGGAGGAAATGAGAAAAAAACATGCACATCAAAAAAATTTTTTAGGTTCGGCGCTCCCGGCTAGGGGGTATATCTTCATGAATAACTTAAATGACCCCCCAAATTGGAATATCCGGCCCAATTACAGGGATGATGGGGGTGATGGAAGCAAATGGAATTATGCCCTGTTGGTTCCCATGTTGGGATTGGCTGCTTTTCGTTGGATTTGGTCTAGGGAGTCCCAAAAAGAAATAGAAAAAGAGCGAGAAGCATACCGTCGGAGGACGGCTGCTTTCCAACGGGATCTTGAAGCCAAGTACCATGCCATGATCTCAGAGAACCGACGTGCCGTTGCTCAGTTGTCTTTGGAACTTGAAAAGGAACAAAACAGAACGACTAGTTATCGAGAAGCCCTTATCGTTCAGGGACGCAAATTGGTGGAAGAAAAGAAGCTTTTGGAACAGGAACGGGCTCAGGTCATGAAAGAAAAGCGGCAGTTGCAGCCCTTGAGAAGTGCGTATCTGAGCTGCGTGGAAAAGGAGGAAGACTGGCAGAGGAGGGCCCAGCTGCTGCTGAAAGAGTTTGAAGGCGCTCTTTCAGAAAGACAGAGCATCTACTGCAGCCTGGTTCTCCCTCGCAGCAAGCGGCTGGAAATAGAGAAGAACTTACTGGTCCGAGCATCCACTGACCCAGTTGCTGCTGACCTAGAAATGGCAGCTGGCTTGACCGACATATTTAAGCATGATACCTACTGTGGTGATGTCTGGAACACCAACAAACGCCAAAATGGGAGACTCATGTGGCTCTATCTCAAATACTGGGAACTAATTGTCGAACTGAGAAAGTTTAAGAAATTAGAGAAAGCCATACTAGAAGAGTAAGACAAGAATGAAATGACACTTCTTTTAATGACTCAGGTCCGACTGTCATGGTGACATTCTGGGTTATACGATGGTTTCTTTTTTCCCTTCCTCCCGTGCTACCTGTGTGAGGCCACATGCACTGAGGGGCCTTGCAGCCTGCACCTCTGAGCGGTACAACAGCCCTCAGCAGACACGGGGTTTCCTCCCCATCCCCACAGTTATTCAGGAGGCAGTTTCTCAGAAGCAGTCTTTCAGCTATCAGCATTTTATTCAGCGGAGAGTATAACCTCATATCTTAGCTTTAGGGTAAAATTGTTTTTAGGAAAGCGAAATACAATAGTGATCCCCACTATAAGAAATTTCCTGTCTGCTTTTATCACTCCCTAAATAAATACTGTTTTTCCCTCGAATTATTTCTCTTCTAAAATTACATTTAGAAGTTGTCAGGTAGTGGATTAGAACTGCCTAACAGATGATAATAGGAAAATACTAATATTGTCAAGGTTTTGTATTGTTTTAAAGATCTCCCACCAAAGGGAAAGGGGGTTTCTTGTATCCAGTTGATACTCTAGTGAATGTTTGGAATTTGACTTGTGTCTGTATTCAATAGATATTGTTGACTAGTGCTGACATATAATAAAAGATACCTACAATTTAAAAAAAAATTTTTTTTAAGGCCCCTAAAAAAATGAGCATTTAAACTGCTTGTCAGATGGCTTCGTGACAAAGCCACCAGAGTGTCTTCACTGGCATTTACATAAACGCTGCTGGTGAGTTCACCACAGCTGCGAAGGCTAATGGAACCTAATTAGTCACTTCTCCCGGCACCAATGTCAGGATGATGAGCACCAGCTCTTTGCCTTGTTGCATATTAGATCATTCTATATAATAAATGCCTAATATGCAAATTGACCACACAGCTGAATGACCGGCAGATTGGCTTTGTCACCCCACCAAATAGACCTGGGGAAGTGTCTCAACCTTTTTGTGCCTGTTTCCCCATCCTATATAATAAAAGCCTAAGATGCAAATCGACCAAACGGCAGAATGACCAGTCACTATAATGCTCACTGACCACCAGGGGGCAGACTCTCAACCCAGGAGCTGCCCCCAGCCTGTAGGCCCCAGGCCAGCCAAGGTGGGTGCCAGCAGGAGGCAGCCCCCCGATTGCCCCACTGGTCGCCCTGCAGAGGGAGGTGACCGGTGGCAGCGGCGGCCAGGGCTGGCAAGCGGGCAGTGCCAGGCCGGCTAAGGCGGGTGCCAGTGGGGGCTCTCTGATTGCCCCACAGATTGGCCCTGATTGCCAGCCAGGCCTAGGGACCCTATCCGTGCACGAACTTCATGTACCGAGCCTCTAGTTAGGTAATAAAGTGTTAGCTGACAGGGTCCCTGCACTATAGCTTTGTGAGGGCACTGCATTTTGCCATGGGGGTGGAAAATATAAAGAAACTAATGCCACAATTGGCCTTAAACCCAAGTAAACCCAACCTGAAACTCAGGAGAACAAGGACAGTATTAACACTTCCCAAGCCCTTTGAAGATCCCCAGTGCACAATTCCAGGAATTTACCCAAGTAAGGGGAAGACAGGGCAGGCACACAAGCTGGAGCAGTTCACAACTGTGGTGGCGACAATTCAGTGTCTTTGGCCCTGTGCCTGCACTTTTTCAAAAATTGGAACACAGAGAGCAGTTATGTTCTGAGGCTGCCTCTCTCCCCAAGCATACCTCTCCCATAAAGCTATTGCTTAAGGAGGAAACCTCACTACCTAAACTCTCCCACAAATACCCAGCAAAGAACATCTCAGTATTTATGAATGAGGAAAAAGAGGGTGAGAGCAGTTACCAACAGCTTCAGCAAGCGGGGATTCATTCACCCTCTGTGGATCACACAAGATTTCAGGAAATAAATTTGCCTTTGGCAACTCTCCTATTTGAAATACAGGGACAGTTATGTGAGCACAAGAGTTGTGAGTGTGTGGGTCACACAGGGAGACTGCATGAGTGTGAAGAATGATCTCAATTTCTTTCATTCGCAGAAAGATGGAGCCACAAAAGGGAACTTTCCTCCAACTGCCTGACATGCAGGATATAAATAGAGATGTGCCACAGCTCAAAATAAGTCAGGCTACCTGTAAACGAGATGGTGAAAAGCCCAGAATGAGGGAAAACGAAGGCTCCTACAGGTCACCTAAGAGGCGAAAATACCTGGTTGTCTCACTGTGCAGTAGCTGCTGGAGGTGGGGGCGTGGGAGTAGAGGGGCCAAGGAGGGGGGCATGGTTCTGTAAGTCTTAAAAAGGGCAATTTCAAATAGGATTTTTCAATGGCCAGATAAAGTATTACCATACCCCAAATCAACATGAGTTAGCATCATAGGTCCACACCCACACACCACCAATGAAAGAGCCCGTAGTCACCCTTTGCTGAGTAGATATTTATGTAGCTATCGTATGAGTGGGTAGTTATGTGTGGTTGGTTGATTAATTCTACAGAGAAGCAGATTTCCATGGTACTGTTGTTACTAAGAACCTTAAGGAGCTGTCTACCCTTTGAATCTTCTGGAGATAAGTGAAGTAAGGCTTTGGAGAGCGGGAGGCCCCCTAGCTGAAGGAGATAGGACATACCCACATCTCCAACAATGATTAATAAATAGTGAAATGTCATCATTTTCTTGAATCGTATGCTAATAATAACACGGCCAGTTGTGGACTGGTAAACTGAAGCAGAGGAATAAAATGTTGTTTTTAAAACTTAGAATAGCCCTAGCCGGGTGGCTCAGTTGGTTGGAGCATCGTCCCATACACCAAAAGGTTGTGGGTTTGAGTCCCAATCAGCACTTACCTAGGTTGCAGATTCTATCTCTAGTCAGGGTGCGAATGAAAGGCTACAGGTTGATATTTCTCTTTTCTCTCTCTCTCTCTCTCTCTCTCTCTCTCTCTCTCTCTCTCTTTCTCTCTCTTTTCCTCCCTCCCTTGCTTTCTCTCAGTCTAAAAATCTATAAAAACATATCCTCGGGTGAAGATTTAAAAATAAGAAATAAAAAAACTTAGAATAATATAATATCACAACTGAAATATTAATATATACACCTAGAAGTAAAAATTTAAGCTGGGAGGAAGCTTAGAGGCTCCAAATCGTTAGCCCATGGCTATATTCCTCCTAGGTGACTCCCCAACACCGCCCCCCCCTTCTCTCTCCAGGGTATACAATTTTGTAATTAATTACCAACAATTAAAAATTAGGAGTCTTGCCAAAATGGAACATCTAGCCCCAATAGGCGTTCACTCCCCTTGGTGACAACTGCCTGGGGCTGGGGCGGTGGAGCACATCTCTTGTTTCACAGTCTCCACTCAGCCCACTTCCCCTGTGTATGTGATCTGCCCACAGCCAAGGTACACACCCATTTTTCTATCCCCTCCCCCGCCCTGAGGATCATCACCTTTGTTTGGCTAAGAAGGAAACTAAAGATCCCAAAAGGTTGCCCTCACCGGTTTGGCTCAGTGGATAGAGCGTCGGCCTGCGAACTGAAGGGTCCCAGGTTCGATTCCGGTCAAGGGCATGAACCTTGGTTGCGGGCACATCCCCAGTAGGGGGTGTGCAGGAGGCAGCTGATCGGTGTTTCTCTCTCATCGATGTTTCTAACTCTCTATCTCTCTCCCTTCCTCTCTGTAAAAAATCAATAAAATATATTAAAAAAAAAATAAAGATCCCAAAAGGTAAGGTGACTTGTCCAAGGTCACACCAAGGGTAGAGGTGAAACTACAAATTTAATTTAGGTTCTCTTTCCAACACATCATGATGCAAAATAATGTTCCTGACCTCCACACCAAGAGGCGTCCTTTCTATCTGGTTGTTTTCTGCTGTTTGTGTTGGTTTCTTTGGTGGAGGGACGATTGGCCTGGCATCCTGAGCTGTCTCCCCAGCTTCCCAAGGGCCGGAATGGGAGCTGAGTGAGGTCTGTACTTGGAGCACACTTTGAAACTGTGAACCCATGACTGGCACATTTCAAAGTGACAGTCAAGTGTGTCCCAGACAGGACAGTAACTGATCAGTCACAGTCACAGACAAGATTTCAGCTTTTAAGCCAGAGCTCTCCAAATTGTGCCCACTAGTATTTACTTATCTTTTCCTCCTTCCTTTTACCTAAACATCTCCAGTCATACAATGTCTTAAGTGACTCCAAAGGTATTAAGAAGGCAATAATACTGTAAAGTGAGGATCAGAATAATTTTAAGTACAGAAATGGAACTGTGAATGTAATCATGAGCAAGTGATTAAAATGGCCTCCTCAAAAAGTAATATCCATCTGGCTAATTAATAAAAAGGCCAAACACGAGAGAGAGGAAGAGAGAGAGAGAGAGAAAGAGAGAGAGAGAGAGAGAGAGAGAGAGAGAGAGAGAGAGAGAGAGAGAGAGAGAGAGAGAACATTGACCAGTTGCCTTCAGTACATACCCCTACCAGGCATTGAACCTGCAACCCAGGTATGTGCCCTGACTGGGAATCGAACCGGCAACCCTCCAGTGCACAGGACAATGCTCAGCCAACTGGCTGGGCTGAATTTTTATTATTTTTAGTGGATTTATTGAGAGGTAACACACCACATGCTTTTCATAAATAGCAGCTCTGGAACCATGATTAATTGACTCTACCTTACACTTGAATATGCTGGTTGTTATTAGTTATGTGGGCAGACATATCAAGGGCAAATATCAAGTTCATGAAACATGGTTTATAGGGAACAATCTGGAGCTTAGGGACTTGCATTCTCATTTGAAATTACCAATCATATACTTTTGGGTAAATCAATCTTCCCAGGTCTCAGTTTCTCTGTCTATAAAAGGAAGAGGTTGACTGTGATCTCTTGAGTAACTGTGAGCTCTGTGGTGCTCTGCAAGTGCACACACTGAACAAGCTGGAAGTAATATTAAATGTATTTGATGGCATAAAGGTGGGTGACAGAGAAATGCAGGAAGGAAAGACAGAATAAGACCATGGGTTTGGAGAAACTCCAGACTGTGATCTCACTTGCCTTTTGTAAAGAACCCTTGGCTTTTAAGTTTCCCAGACAAAAGTCACTCTCCCAGGGCTGAGATTGCTTGGGTCTGAGATGTTAGCTCGGTGATGGAGAGTGTGGCGGTAATTCAATATTTTCCATCAATTGATGCCTGAAGCCCCTAGGGTGGGTGGGGAGGGGACACCTTGTGTATATGAGATGGAATAGAATATTGAGGTCCCCAAGGAGGGGAGAAAGAGCATTGGTGACAAGACTGTGTCTTCCCTAAGTGGAAGAGTTTAAAAGTTCAGGTCAAAGTCAGAATATTAGCACAAATTCCTCATTTTGTAAGTTTTATAAATGAAGAAACTGAGATCCAGCAAGATTATATGGTGTAGGCCAATTTGTGTTAGAACAAGGCTAAGAATTAGGCTTATGATGGAGTGGAAAGGGCCCATAAAGGTAAGGGTAATGAACATGCCATTCAATG